AGGTTGAGGAACCAACAATGGGGAAGGAGAGGCCAGACCTTGATGTAGCACTTGTTGAATTCCGTGTTGTAAATACTCCTTCCCTGATGCGAGGCAGCTCCAAGGCACTACAGAATGCCCCAAGGTGTTCTATGAACCATTGAAAAAGTCTGGTCTCAATATAGTGAGACCCTTTTTCTACAAAAAATTAAAAATTAGCTGGGCATGGTGGCATGCCCATGCCCTATTTGGGAGGCTGAGGCAGGAGGATGGCCTGAGACCAGGAGTTGGAGGTTACAATGAGCCAGGATTGCACCACTGCACTCCAGCCCAGGCAACAGAGCAAGATTCTGTCTCAAAAAAAAAACCTGCTCCACCCAACAGCCCTGGGCCAGTGGACTGTCCCTGAGCAGAGGCGACCAAGCAGGGAGTGAAGAGATCAGTAAGTGAGGAAGTGCTCTGCAGGAGCCAGGAGTGACTTAGGAAGCCGATACTGTGTAGAGCGAGAAGAGGATGGTAAGACCCCATGGCAAGCCATGGGAGCTCTTAGGGGAGCTCCCACTGCGGGGAAAGGGTTTGAGTTAGTTGTCAAAGAAGGACCCCAAAGGTCTGGAGGACGCGGTGACCCCTGGTTCCCTGCTGTGAGTTGTGCACTCAAGCCACTCCCACTAGTTGCTGTTTCCATTAGGGCTGCGATGAACATCTTTATGTGCATTCAAAACTCTGCAAGCTAGTCCTCACCTCCTTCCCGACCACACCCTTCCTCTTCTGGCCTCCTCTGTTCCGCTGCACCACCGTCCTCACCAGTGCCCAATACAGGTTGCGCCCTCCCAGCTGCAGGCCTTGGCCACCCTTCCCTCTTCCTGGACGGCTCTTACCCTCCATGCAGGCTCATCACAGCCGTACCCATTCCTTAAGGCCTGGTTCAAATGCACTCTCCTCTCCCAGCCTTCTCAGGCAGGATTTGTCTCCCTCCTTTCCACAAAGTGTTTTCTATGTCAGTAGTTAAAGGTCTCTCTATGGTCTAGAGAGCTTCTTGGAGGAGGAGTCCTGGAATTAACCATCTCCCTGACACAGCCGATCTTGAGTCACTAAGAAGACTGTCATACACTCTGAGCCCTGCCCCAGCCTCTGTCAGCATCTGTGTCACGATCCCCTGAAAGGCAAAAGAGGATTGCTCCCATTATACAGGTGAAGAAACCGAGGCCGGGAGAGGCTTGGCACCTTGCTTGGTTGCCCGGCAGCAAAGCCCAGGCTCAAGTCTTCTGGGGATCAGCTCAGCCAGAGGGAGGAGGGGTCTGCAAGGTGATCTAGCCCAGGTGCTTCCCACCTGGCGCCTCGAGTGCTGGGGACGTACAAGTTTATTTAGGGAGACCTCCTGTCCATTTGCTCACAAAGGGCAGAGGAGAGAATCCGCGTCTCTTTGCCTCTTTGTTTGTTTTGTATTGTTTTGTTTTTGTGGTTTTCTGAGTTTGGGGTTTTGTTGTTGTTGTTTTGTTTTTTGTTTCTTTCTCTTTTTTGAATATGAAAAGAAGAACCACTGAGAAGCCCATCTCTCATCTCATGGATGAAGAAACTGAGACTCAGAGAGGGTCAAGGACGTGGCCAATGTCGCACAGTGAGTGTGGGGGCTTTGTGCTGAGTCAGCTTAGCAAAGCCGGGACTGCATTTCCCACAGTTTCCTTCCCGGTATGGTTGCCAGTTAGGGGTGGCCACAGGAGGGATTTGCACGGATGTGGTAGGGGAAGTGGAGCACATTTGCACTCTGCGGTTTTGTGTGGGATCAGGCGATGCCGCAGCACATACAGGCCACCTGCTGGCTCACCTGCTGGCTCACTTGCTGGCTTGGGCCAGTGTCCCAATGCCTGGTGACTCTAGATCCCACCAGACCTCCTCCTTCAGCCTCTCCACACTCAGGGCTGCTTGGTGTGCAACTCTGTGGTGGCACAGGCTAGCCCTTCTGCAGATCAGCACCTCATCACTTGGGGGCTTAGAGGCAGTGGGAGGCCAACCAGGTCTCAGTGAGAGACAGGAGTGGGTCCCAGCGTGTCCTCTATTGGTCATGCTCCTCTTGCACGTCCAAGGCACCCTTCCAGGTTCTGCTTTGTCCCTGCTCACCTCCTCTTCCTGTTCATCTTCCCTTCCCAACTGCCAGCCCTGCTGACCCCAGAACTGGAGCAGACACAGGGCACAGACTGACATCACTGCCTAGCAGCTCCCGTGATCAGGAAAGGCCTCTACCTGAGCATGAATGCTCGGTCACTCATAGTGGTCCTGCCTCTCTGGTAGACGCCCAACTGGTACAGTGGGCTGAGTGCAGAATTGACAGCCTGGGGCTCCTCCCCCTGCTCCTGGCTCCTTGCCACTCAGGAACCAGAGGGGGCATGAGCCCAGGCCCCAGGCCCTCCCCAGCGAGACCACTGCCTCTGTCACAGGCCGGTCCCCCAGATCCATTTCTCCAGCCGGTGGCCGAGGGGGAGCCATGTGTCTGGCCTGTCCCCCAGACCATCGTCCCTGCCTGGGCCCAGGGACTGCAGTCCCACCTCCTCCCCTCATACAGCCCTCGGCCAACTATAGGGGCAGTCATCTTACACCAGGCTGGGGACCTGAAGGCTATTTATTTCTTCTGGTCCCCAGGCCCATAACCTTGGAGCTGCCTCGGATGCCTGCTGTCCTGAGGACTCTATTAATCAGGCAGTAAAGATGTCACACTGCCCGCTTGGGCCACTGCCCAAGCAAGCCCTGGGCCGGCCGTCCTCCCTGGCAGGCCGCCCGCATGCTGGGCCCGGGCTCGTTACCGCTCGCCACACTCGGAGCTCCCGCGCTCCGCGGCGGGGCCGTCTCTCCACGCTGCCGCACGCAGCGAGGGGTTTCAGGATCAACTGTCCCCTCCTTTCCTCATCAGTCCCTTCCCTCCTCTGGAAGTCCCCAGGAGACTCCTTTTGCAGAAGCTGCTTCTCAGGAAAAAGGCCATGCGGGCGCTGTGCAAACAGATCTGGATTCAAGTTTTTGAACTGCCACTGACTCCGTGCCCTTGGAGACGTCACATAACCTCTCTGAGCTTTAGGTACCTCATCTACAAAATGATGATACTAGTACTAATCTCATAGGAATGTCGTGAGGATGGAATAAAGTGTCACATGTAAGCACATAGCCCAGTCTCTGGCACGTTCAAATGTACTTTGTAAACGGAAGCCACTATTGTTGGTGGTTACTGTTATTGCCACTTCTTTTTATCATTGTAACCACTAAACTGCATGCTCCATAAGGATGGGGGCTGTGTATGACTTGTTTTCTCCACTGCCTGGAACAGTGCTTAGTGCATAATAGCACTCAATACCTACTTGTTAAATGAATGAATAAACATATAAGTGTTTATTGATCAGGCCCGAATACAGTAGCTGGGACTGAAGAGCATTTAGAGATTTCAGTAGGTAAGGTTCAGTTCGAACTCTTTTCATTATGTCTGTCCACCTGTATCCTCCTTAAAGTTTTTCTCTGACCACCTGCCGACTACTGACCCATAGGCAGTGCCAGCACTGGCATCCCCCATGGGACTTGCAGGACTTCCACACCTGCCAGGGTGGCAGAACCCAACAATGCCTCCAGGTGCTGCACCTACAATTAGGACAGCTCTCGCTCAGAGCACAGGTTTGCTTCACAAAACATGCAAACAGGGTCCAGTCCAATTTAAAAGGCATACCCTATTAATATCCCCCATTTAACAGATGAGAAAACTGAGGCATGGAAGTGTTAAGTAACTTGCTCAAGATCACATCCCTAGTAAAGTGCTGACAGTAGGATTCTAACTCACCTATTGCCTGTCATATGCAGATCATACACAGATCTTCTATGCTCTGCAAGGTAGCTATTAATATCTTCATATACAGATAAGGAAGTTAAGGCTCAGAGAGAATTAGTAACTTGCCCAAAGCCACACAGCTAGTACAGCAACCTATGTCATATATGGCATTAGATTCTACAATTGGCACATCAGGCAAAAGTTGCATAAAGTTCGAATTGTTCTTGCAATCCCTTCAATTGACTACATAGTTTTCTTTGTATATAGCCCAATACAGTAATTTTTACCTACCTACCCTTGAATTTGAGAACTGATGAGCAGGACTGAAGGAAGGACCAGAAGGGAAGTCTGGAAGGAGTCATCAGAAAGCGACATCATTCACCGTCTGGACGTGAGATCATTGTTAGCCCCTGGCCCGGAAGAAGGAGGAAAGGGGATTTTAAGCATTCCTGGTGGGTTCACACAATTGCAACTTAACGTTAGTGCCCCTGATCTTCATGCATGTGAATTCATGTCGCTGTGGAGGCAATTAAGTGAGTGACGTATATGAAAACTCCTGCACAGTCACTAGCATAGACGAGGTGCTCAATACATGCGTGCTAGATTTGAATCTGAAATAATTAATTCATTTACTAAACACGCACTGCGTTCCCACCAGGTGCCAAGCACCGTGCTAGGAAACAACAGGCAATGAAAGAGATGAGATCAGGGTCCTCGCCCTGATGGAGCTGACGTTCCCGGCAGGGAAACACACAATGAGCGAGTCAACTAACAGGTATGTGATGTCAGGTAAGTGATGGGAAGAAAAATAAAGTGGGTAGGGGGAAAGAGAGTGTGAGGCCACTTTTTGGATAGGACAGGGAAGGCCCAGGCAAACCGGCCCATGCACTGACACCATGCTTTGAAAAGCACAAAGAATGGCCACCTGCTCCCTGCCTTTCCAAATTAGCATTTTAGTTTGCGGTCGCCACTGAACAGCAGCCACTGCCAGGTCCTTAGGGGTGACAAAGGGCTGCTGATGGGCATTTAGACTAAAGGTGACTCCACTGTAAAAGGCAGATCAGGCTCAGACCCCATCCACCTGACCCCAGGGCCCGGAGTCTGTGCACCACAAATGATTCTGTGCTAGAAAAAATCTAACTGTAGCTGTGGAGACGAAACACAGCAATGACTTGAACCAGAATTCTGGATTCTAGAATACCATGCTGGCTCTGTTCCTCAGGGTTTTGGAGCCAGGAAGGGTCCTCAGACACACACACCCAGCATTTCACATTCGGTAAGTGATGCGTGTTCATCTCATCTGATTAATTCCCTTATTCTACAGGTAGAGAAACTGAGGTGAAGAGGCCACAGGACTGTCCCCAAACCACAGAGTCAGCAGTGACGGAGGTGAGAGCTCAGATCTCCTGACTCTCGGTCTGGTGCTCTTTAAAGGAAAACGGCGCCTTCCACTCATGGGTAATCCAGAGCTTCAGTTTATTCTGAGGCCACCTGAATAGCAGGCGCACTTGACACCGTGCAGGGCCTGGCTCCCAGGGGAGCGTGGTGGTGCTGGGGAAGAAGGTGAGGACGGCCTAAGGGCTAAGGACACCCTGAACATGGGGCCGGGATGGTCAGGTGTGCCTGCTGGGCCAGGAGCCTGACTGTGGTCACAGCACCAGGTAGTCAGGTAGGATCCAGAGAGGAGGAGCCACCTGCAGTGACAGCAAAGCTGAAGAGAGGACAACATAAGGCCACTTCTGTCACTCCCTAGCTTTGTCTTTGACCACATCCACTGGAGGCCTAAGCCTCCCACATTTCACCCCTAGATCTAGAACTGCCTAGGGGACAGAGGGGTGCTGCCCCGCTCTCTAAGGCCCTGCAGCATGCCCTGCACCAGGCACTCCTCCTTCCTCATTCTGTTTCCTTCATGCAACACCCCTGCAAGGTGGCGACTCTCGCCCTCATTCTACAGATGGGCCCCAGGCTCGGTGTGCAGCAGCTTGCAAAGCAGCCCCTCCACCCTCTCTCCCCAGGTCACCGCCCAGTGCACAGCTGAGATTCCAGCCCAGGCTCGGGAGAGCAGAAGCTGAGCTTCCTAAGGCCTGGTCTCCCACGTGGCCGGCGGGAGGGCCCCTCCAGAAGGGTTTCCAGAGAGGCCACTACTGTTGTCTGGATTGATAGTGAGTTGCCCACATCCCGTAAGCCCCTCCCTGCCAGGCCTGAGCCCGCAGCCCGGCTGCAGGCAGGGAGCGAGGCTGGGCGCTAATTTACACTTGTTTAACTACAGCTGCCGCCTCCCGCCATGTGTCTGGCCGCCATTTATTGCGCTTTCCGAAGCCCTGCCCGGCACTCAGGGGCATTTCCTGCCTGCGCTAATGGAGGAGAATAGACGCATTATATGTGAATAATGGATTATGATGATACAATTTGGGTCTCTTAGCTCTCACCAAGCCTAGGCTAGCCTTGCATTATTAATAACTTACACACACCTTCCCGAGCGTGTTTATGTAAATATTTAATAGGGAAAGCAAGTTAACCCATTGGTTCCAGCCCTTTCCAGAGCGTCAGAAGTAAAGGCTGTGAGGGTGACGGGGGTGGGGCCCCCAGCAGGCGTCAGGGCCCTTTGGAAAGCCGGCACCTTCCCGAGATGCTGGCTTGGTCACAGGGAGTTTATGGCCTCGAGGTTTGTGGCTCTCGGGGCCAAGAGAAAAGGGTAGGTCTGCCTCACCACGGGAGACCACTGCTCTGCCGGCACAGGCAGAACACAGCGAGGGTGTTGGGGACGAGGGTGCTGATGACTGACATGCAGCGGGGTGGGTGTCACCCTGAATAAATAGAACCATTGCTGCCCGTCTTACATGGCTGATTTCCTGCACTTTCACGCGGCTTCCACGTTTCACACTCCATTTCATGCCGGAAGGCAACACTTCAGAGACTGCCTGGCTTTCACCCGGGCTCCACTACTTAGCGGCTGGATGGCAGGTTAATCTCTGTGCACACCGGTTGTCACATCTGTAAAATGGGGAACTAATGCACTTGTCTCATAGGTACTCATCGCTGAGTGCAAGACTTCGGTGAGATAATCTATCTAAAGCGGCTTTACAGTCCCAGCACGTGGGAAGGGCTCAACACCTTGCAGTCATATAGCAGGGATGTGAAGCTGCGCGTGTTCTCGCACGGGTCTTACTGCCAGGGCATACGTTCACTGACAGCGTTTCTCAGTAGTATGGAAAATAGTCGTGCATCCTGGACTCAATGGAATACAGCTGTTATTTTGCTAAAATTGTGTTTCTGGCAATTAAACAACTTTGCCCCCTCTGGGAAGTCATAAGAGTGGGCATGTGCCCCATCTGCTTGGGCTGAAGGGGGAGGACCAGGCAGGACCAGGAGACCTGAGCTGGCCTCCCTCCGCGCCCCTCCACCAGCACTCCCGCCCTGGGCGCCTGCCCTCTCAGCCTATGTCCCTGTATCCCTCTCCCAGGTTGCCACTGACAACCTGCCATTCTCAGAGCCAACCTCCCTGAGCTGCCAAGACTTCGCAGGGGCTGGCTTCCCCACCTGAATGCCCTCTGCTCCTCCTCCTCCCCCGGGAAACCCTGACGGATTCAGGACATGGTTCAGTCTTCACCTCCTTCTTCCAGCCTTCTCTGCCTCTTGACTGATCTCATCTTAAAATCAAAATGGCCAGTTTGTTCTTCTGTCTTCTCACCAGACCTGCAGGCCCACGGGCCCGGGGAACGGGCACTGACTCTGTATGCCCAACACCTCCTTGCACAGGCCCGGTGTAAGGGCTGTGGGAATACTGCAGTGCACACCACGGACAACGGTCGGTGCCCTTGGGCCTCCTACGCTAGAGGGAGGGGACAGACGGTAAGCACAAGACACAGAAACTCTGGTATGTAAAAAGAGGGGCAATGCTATGGAGGAGGGAAAGCCCAATAAAGAAGGCTAGAGGGGGGACACTTTTTTAGGATGGTCCAGAGTAAGCCCCCCTGAGAAGGTGACATTTGAGCAGAGGGTCTGAGCAGGGTGAGGGACCAACCAGTACAAGGACCCCGAGGTGGGAGTGTGCCTGGTGTGTTCAAGGAAGGCCCAAGGTGGGTGTGGCTGGCACAGAGCCTCCAGCCTTGGGGCCTGGGCAAAGACTTTGCCTCTTGCTACAGAGACATGGGAGCCATTGGAGGATTCTGTGCAGAGGGGTGACCACGTCTGACGTGTGTTGAAGGGTCATTCTGGCAGCTGTGTGGCGCATTACTACCGGGACAAGTACTGCGGCAGAGACACCAATTAGGGGCTGCTGCAAGAATCCAGGTGTGACTCGATGGGGCTGACCCTAGGGTGGGCGGGGGAGGTGGTAGGACGTGGCCAGGTGGTCGGGTTCTAGCAGACGTGGAAAGTGGAGCTGCCCGACTCCCTGCTGGTTGAAGTATTTGGTGTGAAAGAGAGAGCAGAGCCAAGGCTCACGCCAAGGTGTGTTCCTTGCCTGGAAGGACAGAGTAGCTGCTAACCAAGGCAGGGAAGACTTGTGGGGAGCAGGTTCGGGTGGGGGAGATGAGCAGTTCCATTTGGGATGTGTCATTATCATACTACATTTGAGACGTCTATTATACATCCAAGGGGAGAGTTTGAATGGGCAGCCGCAGGCAGAGCTCTGGGCTTCAGGGAAGGGGGCCCAGGCTAGCGCCATAAATGTGAGAACCCCCAGCGTCCAGATGGATGAGGTCACATGGGAGAGGGGGAGGCGGAGAGAGAGACACCAAGGCCTGAGCCCCAGGCATTGCAGTGAGTAAGGTGTGAGGGAAGAGGACCAGCAAAGGAGCCAGGGAAGAAGCAGCCCATGGGGTAGAAGGAAAATCCATTTGCTGAACTTCAGAGCACTGGAGTTGTAATAAACAGTCACAATGAAATAGCCACCAATAATTGAGTACTTATTCTCTTTCAGACACTTCACATATGGTTTTTCCTTTGATCCTGAGATTTAGGAATTCTCATGCCCATTCTGCAGGCAAGGAAACTGAGGCTGAGAAAGGTAAAGTTGTTTGACCAATGTTCCATGGCTAGTTATTGCACAGCAGCAATAAACCCAAGCTTCAAGTCAGCCTGGTTAACATTTATTGACCATCTACTGAGAACTGGGTGCTCTTAATAGATATCATTTTATTTTATACTCTCGACACCCATGCAAAATGGATGTCATTTCCACCCATTTTACAGATGAGAAAACAGGCTTAGAGTCTTATTAAGTGACCTACCTGGAAGTTACCCAAGGAGGAAATGGGTGGCAGAGATTTGAATCCTGTTCTCCTGCCCTCATTTTAAAGACCTGGGATTCTCCCGAGCCTGAATTTGGAGAAGGGAATAGGGTTGTAGGATTAACTGTGAATTCTAGGCTTGAAATGCCAGGCTTCTTCCAGAGGCCAGATGTCGGGCTGGGGCCACGAGGCCCTCTGCTGCGTCCTAGGCTGGGAGCAGGGAGGGAGAGGACTCTGCCACCAAAGCCCAGGCTGGGCGCTCCCAGGGAGTCCCCTTCTCCCCCGCCTGCCCAGCATCTGCCCTCCACCAGCTCCTGCCTGGCTGCCAGATGTACCAGCTGTGGCTCCCCTCCATGGAGAGCCTCATTTATTAATTAATGTGGACGCCAAGGGGGCAACTTCTCAGGCCCAGCCTCAGAGCAGATCTTGGCACATTTTTCAGACTTTGTTTAATAATTTATCATCTTTTAATCATAAAAATAATTAGCACAAGAGCAATAATCTGTGCTCTGCCGAGAGCAGACCAGCAGAGGAGTTTTCAGACGGTGCCAGAGCCCAGAGAGCTGAGCTTTGGCAGAGAGGAGGGGAAGGCTGGCTGGCAGCCAGGTGTCCTCTCCAGGGCTGGCCTCTGGGAGTCAGGTGTCGGAGATACCGCCTGGCTTGGCCGGGGACGTGAGGACCACGCTGCTTTCCTGGGAAATGGAAGCTCCTGCCCCTGTCTGACCTGACTCACTGGATAACCCTCTGGGAAGTTCCCTCCTTCACTGGGTCTTAATTTTCCCATCTGTAAAATGGGAGTTCAACTAGATAATGCCTAAGGACCCTTTTGTTCAAGGTGCCATGACCCGAGGAGGTAGCAAATGTAGATGCAGTGGTTTGTGACAGTGAAGAGAGGGAGCTGGAGTGTCCACAAGAGCCGAGAAGCCTCCCATGGTCCTCCGCAGAAGCGTGTGCCATCTCCTCTGCTCCCCAGATTCGCACAGAGCCCTGGGATGAGACTCGGTTCTGCCAAGTCTAAGCTGTGTGGCCTAGAGCAAGACCCGCCGCTCTCTGAGCCTCAGTGTACCCATCTGAAAAGTGGGAGTGATCATTTATGCCTGCAGGTCTCCCAGAGAAGATCCAAGGAAGAGTAGGACACGGCTGCCCCTTGGAGACATTGGTCCCGTTCTGTCCCGGATTTAAGTGCCCCTCCCTGCCCAGACTGGAGGGTGGGACAGGACTGCCTCATCCTCTGTGACAGCCCCCAATGTTCTGTCAATTCCAGGGACCTGTCTTGAGGTTGTGCAACCTGTGCAGGCGGACACAGCCTCCCCCAGGGTGACAGCAGAGTCAGGTGGCTCTGGACAAGACCGCAGCAGTCCAAGAAGTTGATTCCGCCTTCAGGTCTTGTGCAAGCTGCTGAGCCTCCAGCTGCCTCAGTCTCTTCATGTGTAAATGACAATACCTGCCTTAGGTTGGGGTCCCTAGAAGCAGACCCTGAGACAAGAATTCGAGAGCAAGTCATTTATCTGAGAAGACATCCTGGAAACTCCAGGAGGGAGTAGAGGGGTGAGACGGGGATGGCGAGGAAAGAGGTGGGTCAGTGAGCCAGTGACCCCTTTAGAAAACCAGGCGGTGCCCAGTTCTGCCGGGGCCATCTCAGGGGTTGGCAAACTACAGCCCACAGGCCCCATCGGGCCTGCCTCCTGACTTTGCAAATAAAGTTTTATCAGAACACAGCAATGCCCACTCATTTACATATTGTCTATGCTGTTTTTCAGCCATAGCGACAGGGTTGAATAGTTGCGACAAGGCACCATATGGTCCTCAAAGCCTAAAGTATTTGCTATCTGGCCCTTTGCAGAAAATGTTTGCCAGCCCCTGCTCTAGGACAGAGCGTGGAACCCACCCAGAGTTGCCCCCCTTGAAGGAGAGGAAGCTGGCCTGTCTCTGCACCACCTGCCGTCCACCCCTGGCTGTCCCAGGGGCCCTAACACCCACCCACACACACACATCCCCCAGTGCCAGGGTGGCATACTCCAGCAGCCAGAGGAACCCCGGAGGTGTCACAGAGGGTACACAGCAGGGAGTGACAAGGGGAACTCGGGGCCGGGCATCCAGGGCGTCTGCTCCACCGTCTCACTGAGTCACACGAGGACAAGCTAAGTAACACTGGGAAGTACTGAGAACAGGCAGCGTCCCCTAATATTCCACACCTCTGATCGTGGGTACCAGCCCCCACCCAAGACATTCCTGGGTCATTCCAAAATGAGCTGCCTTCGCCTCCCCACTGCCTGCCTGTGTTTTCAGGCACTGCTGCTAACTTCTGAGCTCCAGGTCTCTCTGGGAGGAAGGTTCCTTTCCAGGCCCCAGCTCTACCTGTCTGGACAAAACTGCACCCGCATTTCCCCCTCCCTGGCTCCAACTCGGGAAGCCTGTCTTTCCTGCTTCTTTCCCAAGTGCTTCCTGCCGCCCCAGACCCTGGGGGCCCAGCTGCCTGGGCTCTGTCCTCAGGTCTCAGCTCTGGACCTGCCGGTGGGGACCACCCTCTGGTCTCCATCCGGTCGAGTATGCTGCCCGTCCTCACCACTGCTCTTGGCCATGCTGCTTTTGCTCCCTGTGCCTTCCTGAGACTGGCAGCACTACCGGGACCTGGCTTTCACCTCCACCCCTCCTGGGCGTATTCTGGCAGTCAGCTCTGGGCTCCTTTCAGAGAAGGACATAAGCAAGTGGATTTGACAGAAGGCAGTTGCCATGATCAGGGCTCATCGGGGGCTGGGATCAGGGCTCAGTCTGCTCAGTCTAAGATCAAGGTCAGGCCCAGCTGAGCCAGAGTCAGGGCTCAGTCTGGGTCCCAGTTCAGGATTCAGTCTGAGGCAGGAATCAAGGCAAAGCCTAAGGTTAAGGTCAGGGCTGTCCTTGGGCCAAGGTCCAGCAGTCGGCCTAACCAAGGAGCCCTGTACACTGGACTGCTTCATCTTACAAACCAGCCCAGGCCATCCATAGCTCCCGCCCCTTGGCTGGCCCGCCACCCCAGTCCTCCCTGGGAACTCCAGCCCGTCCCGCTGGGGCGCCTGCATTCCCGTTCGTGTGTACGCACGCCCTCCTGGCCAGGCGGCGAGGATTCCCAGGTCCATCTGTCTGCTGAGCTGTCGTGGGAACCGAGCTCAGCGCATGGGCCCGAGCCTGTCTCCCTCCGGAGCCTGTCTCCAGACTGTTGGCGTTCGCGGCTCTGCCTCGCAGCCTCCGAGCTGGGCTCGCGCTGCTGAGTCCAAACGCCGTCCACTGCTCAGTTCCAGCCAGCCACCGAGCACTCCCCAGATGGGCAGGGACCGCGCCATGCCTGCCTGCCTCCTGCCTCAGGCACTGCTCGCTCCCTGCCAGAGGCCCAGGGGAGGTGCCCAGTCCCAGGGGGCCAGACAGGGCCAGGGAAGGGCAGGGAACCTACTGCCGCCAGCTTTGGGGCCCCGAGCATCATCTAACGAGTGAGTCCCTCCCTCCAGCCCTGACCCTGGGCCTGGGGAGGCCCACCGTCTTCCCACTAGGGGCCTGGCAGCCTTTGTCCTCTGACCACAGAGCTGCCCAGAGGACTTGTGGAACCCAAGGTGACCTGTGGTCAATGCACCCCCCAGGGCATCTGTCTGAGAAGCTCCAGGAAGTGTGGAGTTTCAGAATCAGGCAGCCCTGGGCGTGAATGCCACCAGTTCAAGTGGTGTGAACATTGACAAGTCATTCTGTGCCTCAGTTTCCTCATTTATAAATGGGCCTAACAATCCCTGGCTTCTAGGTTGTAGTGACAGTTACATACATGAAGAGGCGTAAAGCCCCTGGCAGAGGGAGGAGCTTGTGGTGTCCGTCTGTCGAATGTCTGCTCGGCTGCCCTGCCCCCCTTTCTGATCATGGCACCCCCTTCTACGCTGAGCCGGCCTTCTCCCTGACAGTGTGGGTCTGGTGGGGCAGCCAGTCCTGGGACCCGGCCCCCATGGCAGGGAGTGGGCACAAGCTGACTCAGAAGGAAGCAGAACAGAAAGAGGGAGAAAGAAAGCATGAATGGTGACCCTACAGACATCACTTGGACCCCAGAGTCCCCAGCGGGAGACCCCATCCTGAACCCCCCACACCTGAGCCAGTACCTCTTTTTAGCTGAAGCTATTGGACTTGGGCTCCCATCCCCGGTGACCAGGTTCAGAAGCAGAGAGCAAGCACATGTTATGGTTAAGAGCCTTGAACCTGAAGCCACAATATTTGGGGTTCAAGTGTCAGCTCTGTTATTTGTTAGCAATGTCACCTTAGGTGAGTTACCCACCTCATGGTGTGGACGTTTCCTCATACAGAAAATGGGTGTTGTGAGGGTTCACTTAATTCATTTATGTAAAACACTTAGAACAATACTTAGCACATAGTAAATACTGTGTAAGTATTTGCTAGTATTTTATTATTTTTTATCATTCCCTGCTCAGCTCCCCTCTTCTCCAATCTACAGGATAGGACCGGATACTCAACAAATATTTATGGGATGCCTACCATGTATGCTCACAGTGGTACCCTGCAATGAGGCTGATGTGGGCTCTCTCCTCCAGAGCTCGCTTCAGCGAGGGTGGGTGGCCGAGGGGCTGCTGCGCCAGGACCACAAAGATGAAGCTGCACTCCCAGCACCCGCTCAGCACCCAGTGCACAGGGCGCTGCCCTTCCAGGAAGCCTGCCAGGGTGGCGAGCCGGAATTCGGGCCAGGCCTCCCAGCACCAGAGTGGCCCATGGAATCTTCGTCTGATGCTGGGAATTCTCTTAGGGCAACTGGGGCCTCCAGGGCCCCTGAGAAACCTCACGCATCCTCCCCAAACCCGACAGCCCAGCTCTCACCCAGGACCCTGGGGAAGAAGTGTTTGTGGACACATTGAGAAGGTGGCTGGGCACGGTGGCTCACACCTGTAATCCTAGCACTCTGGGAGGCTGAGACAGGAGGATTTCTTGAGATCAGGAGTTTAAGACCAGCCTGAGCAAGAGGGAGACCCTGCATCTACTAAAAATAGAAAAATTAGCCAGGCATGGTGGATGCACCTGTAGTCCCAGCTACTTGGGAGGCTAAAGCAAGAGGATCACTTGAGCCCAGGAGTTTGAGGTTGCAGTGAGATATGATGGTGCCACTGCACTCTAGCCTGGGCGACAGAGAGAGACTGTCTCCAAAAAAAAAAAAGAAGAAGAGAGAGAACGAGTGGCAGAAGGTAATGCAGAAGGGGAGGGTGTGGCCTGCAGGGACGAGTGGCCCGAAGAGTCTCTCAAGGACCCCAAAAGACAGAAAGCGACCTTGTGGGCAAGATTGGAACAGCAAGGGAGGGCGAAAGAGGGAAGCCAGGAAAGAACCCTAAATTCCTGTAGTTATGTCCCTCTACCCCAGGCCATACCAAGAGAAGACATTGTGCCTCTGATAGAGGTTTGGTTGGATGCAAAGAAGACCTGGGTCAGGCAGCCAGTGGCTTCCGGGAGAGCCAGATCTCCCCACCTAAGCCATCTGGGAAGCAGATGGACTCAGCCCAGTGGACAGAGGAAGGCAGGCTGAGCACGCCCAGGAAGTGTCAGGGTCTGCACTCCACTGCCAACCTGGTACGGGCACCAGTCCCAACTTTTGGTTAATTAAACTTGGCAATATCATTTTTGCAAAATTATATGATAATTACATGATAATAGTTACTAATAGCTAACATTTGTAGCACAGTGAGAGGCCATATGGCATGATGGTTAAGGGTGAGGGCTCTGTCCTCAGACTGCCTGGCTTTGACCTCAGTGTCACCACCCAGTCGTCCTTTCATCTTAGCAAAGCTTCTTCCCCTCTCTGTGCAATAGTTTATTCATCTGCACAATGGGAATAATGGCATAATAGCACTCACCACATAGAGTTGTTATGACAATTACATGGATGCAACATGCTAAGACAGGAAGTCTTAGAAGAGAACCTGGCACATAGTAAGTGCTCAATAAATATTCATTACTTACCATTGAGCATTTACTGTGTATCAGGTACTATGCTAAACATTTTATTTGCATCAACTTAATCCCTGCAACAATCTGTGACATAGGTGTTTCATAGCCCCTATTTTACTGATGAGAAAGCTGAGGCACAGAGAAAGGGATTTTGCCTGAATTCTCATAGTTCTTAAATGGCTGAGCTCAATGGCCCCACCTGACCATTGCCCTGCAGGGCTCAACAGGCTAGCGGTGCAGCTGTCCCTCTAGCCAAGTGAGCCAAGCCCCCTGGCCATGGACTTCAGCGCCAACCATCTCCGGAGAGACCACTGAAGCCAACCTTCCGCGCCCACAACCCTGTGTCCATACTCAGAGTGCAAGTCCCTGGGCCATTAGTCTTCCTCCAAACCCACCAGCCTCATAGCTCTGCTCTTCCCTGCCCTTGCCCGGCATCTCCCCACCACCCTGCCCCGACTCCCAAACATGCCTGGAGCTGCAGTCCAGAGAACCTTCCGTAAGTGTTCCCTCCATCTCTTGCCTTAACTGGGACCAGGCTCTCTCCTGAGGACACCACCTCACTTGCAGGCCCCTGGAGACATTGCAGATGCTTGCTCACCCCCTAAGGACCGGAGGTGAGGTCATTGTCCCTCTCACTCTCCATTCTAGACCACCGGACTCCTCTCTGGTCCAAAAAGTGGTTCGCCTTTGAGGGCCACGTCATTCAGCTCTGCCAACCTGTCCCCTTCCCTCGCTGCTGGCAGATATA